CTCTCTCTCTCTCTCTCTCTCTCTCTCTCTCTCTCTCTCTCTCTCTCTCTCTGTGTGTGTGTGTGTGTGTGTGTGTGTGTGTGTGTGTGTGTGTGTCTGCTTATCTGTCTACTTGTCTCTTCCTTTCTTCTTCCTTCTCTCTGATAATGACTCACTATGTAGTGAGCTGGCTTCAAACTCACAGTGATTCTTCTACCTCAGCCTCCTACATGTGAGCTACACCCAGGTTGAAATTTCTTATATGAGGCATTGCAGAAAGGAAAGAAAGTAACTAGTGGTACACACCTTTAATCCCAGTACTCAGGAGGCAGAGGCAGACAGATCCCCGAGTTAGAGACCAGCCTGGTCTACAGAATGAGTTCTAGGACAGCCAGGGCTACAGAGAAACCCTGTCTCAAAAAAACAAAAACAAAAAAGGGGAGAGGATTTTTCCCTTAGAAAAGATTTTCCTTCTGATACACATACAGACATGTGGAGGGTGTGAATTCACATGCCCACTGTTTCTTAGAACCAAAGCCCTTGCTCACACTACGCAAATGTTCTATCCTAAGCAGAACCCCAGCCACAACAGTTTACTTTTTACAAAATATGTTTTTACCCCTCTTCTGAAGAGTCTACGGAAGAAATTTCTCTTTGGTCTGAGAATGGAGGGACACGTCTTCTGTTTTTTATATGCTGGCAAATCTCCCTCATCTTCAATTTCATTGATGTCCTTGAAACATCCAGATTCAATCATCTGTGTGCACAGGAGACAGGATAGGCTTTGGAGACACCAGGGAGTCAGTGATCTCCCCACATTATTGGCTCCCACCCAGCACCTGATGACAATGTGGGGCACATCATAGTTCCCAGACTTTCTCTGGCTCCACATTCCTGGATTCCTGGTTTCTGACCTCTTCTTGGAATAAAGTGGCCTCTTGTTTCCCTTTCTCTAAGTGAACTCCCCCCCCCCACCGAAATAAAGCTAATTCCAATGGAGCCAAGCAGCCAGTTAGCGCTGCTTAGGAAGCTGGACTCCAGGGTGACAGGCAAATCCTAAGATCACCTTTTGCCTGCCTCATGTAATTGAGACCAGAGTAGCTGTCATGCCTCTGGCAACTACTGATACAGTCTTGGCTTACCCATCATCTAGTCCTCATGGTCAAATCTTTTGCATAAATGTATTTTGCAGACACACACACACACATACACAGGTCATTGATGCAACTAGAATAAACCTACTCTGTTAGAAAGAGCAGTACCTCATTCTGCCAGGGGATGGTGACACACCCTGTAGCAAATTGGGCATAGAAGGTTTCATCACTGCTGTCCAGGTTGACTCCTTTCACCACAGAGAACTGCCCAATATCCAAGATATCCTTACAATAAATGGCCTGAGGCTGGGCACCAAGAACAAAGAGAGGCATCAACCTGTGAGACAACTAGAGTAACTCTTTTCTTGTTTTGTTGTATGGTTTTGTTTCTTTCTGGATTTTTGAAACAGGAATGGGTAGCCTAGGATCTCCCTGAATTCACAATCTGGCTGCCTTGACCACCCCCAGATGTTATATCAGTCACTGAGAATTGAGCATAGGGCTTGCACTTGTTGGGCAAGCACTCTACCACTTATCTACATTCCCAGTCCTAAAGTAGCTCTGAGATCCCTTAATTACAAAATCTACACATTTTTCCTCCTACCCTGTTCACTGCTTGTACTAGCTTTTTGGAACCCATTCACTTTTGATAAATATCTTGCTCAGCCTAGATACAGTAGGGAGGGCCATGATCCTTCTTCAAAGCAATGTGCCTTACCTCTCTCTGAGAAGTGGATGGGGGATTGGATGGGGGGAAGAGCAGGTGGAGGCAACAGGAGGAGAGGAGGGAGTGGGAACTGGGATTTGTATGTAAAATGAAAAAAGATATTTTTTAAATAAAATAAAAATAGAAAAAATATCAATTGTAGATCTAAATTCTGTCCAACAATGAAAATTTAACTTATCTTTCCAATTTTAGAATGTGTCTATAGCTGACTGTTAATGGTGGAGTCCAGGCTATCTTCATTCCATTATCCGTTCATCAGTAGTTCACTTATTATGTACTATTTTACCACATTCAGTTATTATTACTATATTATAAACCAGACACAGACAAGCACCAGTCCCTGTACTTTTGATCTCAATAGCATACTCATGAGGAAGCGCACATGTGACAGCTCCGGAGGGATGCACATTCCAGAACCAAGCAGCTGTGTGCACTCAGTGCGATGAGTGAACACAGGTAGGAAGGTGAACGGAGTACTGAGATCTGAACAAGAACACTGGCACACAGAGAGCCTTGAAGGGCATGCTAAGGAGGTCTGAAATGGCACTGAGAATTGGGAGGACAGGAGTTTAGCTATCCCAGCAGTGACAGACTGCAGGCCCCAGGCCTGGGAGTCAGAGAACTACTAAGGTCTGCCTGAGGCTGTGGAGGTGGTGGGTGGGATATAGGCAGAAGAAGCAGCAGAAATAAATAATAGACCTCACAGAGCAGAACTCACATGCTGGCTGTATCAAGAGTGTTTTAACCAAAAGATTGCTATAGGAATCAGTGTTTTTCGGACCTAGCTACTCTAGGTAGCATACTTACATCAGGATAGAAAGGGGGATCTAACATATTTGCTTCCAGCCTGCTGAAGTTAATGTCCTTGAACACTGGGTGCTGCTTTACAACAGCAGCTCCACCTCCATCATTCTGACAGCCTAGTCGATGTCTTGGATCCTTGATGAGTAACTACACAAAAGAGAAACAGTCAAGTGAAGCTATTAGGATTGAAATGTAAACTCAAAACTGTCCTCTTTAACAACATAAGAAGTAGGAGTGGCAGAAAGGACATATATTCAAACAAATAGCCACTACAGTTTCCAAGTATCAACCACACTGTACAATTTCAGACTTAACTAAGTAGGTTATGGTTTCACAACAGGTAAAACTCAAGTCTTGCCACGAGTGATCATGAGCTCGAAGCTTGAAATGCTGTGCCTCATTGTGTACCCCTTTAATCTCAGCACCTGGACAGAGACAAGTGGATCTCTCTGTGAGTCTGAGGCCAGCCTGAACTACATAATGAGTTCTAAGACAGCTAGTGTTATACAGATGCTATCTGAAAAACAAAACAAAACAAAGAACCCAGCAATCTGAATAAACTAACCTTCAAATAAAAATGTTATAAAAACTAAGGGATAATTAAGGAAATAGAGTTATGAATTCAGAAACAATATATTAATGCCATTGAATTTATAAAAAGAAACCTTTATTCATTGGAGTACTAAGGACCCCAAGTGAATAAAAAATTGAGTAAGCCCCCTTTTAGAAACTATATAAACTCCCTGTCTCTGTTTCTCTCCCGTCTCCATCATCATCTCTGTTTTCCCCCTTTTTAGTTTTATTTATGTACTTGTGTGAGTGTAAGTACATGCCACAGTGCATGTGTGGAGGTCGGAAATCTATCCTTGCCTTCCACTTTGTTGAGGCAGGGTGCCTCATTGTTTCTGCTGTTGCATTGTGTATTCCAGGCTAGCTGACCCCACAAACTTCCAGATGATCCTCCTATCTCTACCACCTTTTCTTACCCTAGGGATTACAGATGTGTGCCAGCACATCTGGCTTTTGGCATAGATTCTGGAGATACAGCTCAGGTCATCAGGCTTATGTGATGAATTTTTTAACCCACTGAACCATCTCCTGGGCCACTGGTTTTTTCCAAGATAGGATCTTGTAGCCTAAGTTGATTTCAAAATCGTCATATGCATATCTGCACCTCCAGAGTGCTGGGGTTATAGCCATGTGTCTCCTACACGTCTAACAGACTTTTAAAAGTATTCTTTACATGTTTACAACTGTCACAAATTCAAATAAGTCTTCCTTCACAATTACTATCACTCAAAAAAAATTGGCTCCAGTTCTTGTCCCTCTGCATAACCCCCTCTCTGCTCTCGGGCAAGTTATCCATGTATCCTAAGATGCTTTCCTACAATCCATCTGTGGGAAATGTAACCCATTGTTTAAGAGCCAGTTATTTCTCTTCTCAGTAGTTACTAAACATGAAGGTTAATTTTAGCTGTTAAATGGACACAATCTAGAATCACCTGAAAAGGGAGTCTTAAAGAGCATTGCCCAGATTAGGTTTACTTGTATGCATTCTTTTTATTTTATTTTTAACTTTGATACATTACATCTTAACCAAAGTTTCCCCTCCCTCCACTCCTCCTAGTCTGCCTCCTACTTCCCCTCTCCCCCAGATCCACTCCTCCTCCATGCCTTTCAAAAAGAAAGAAAAAACCAGGCCTCTCAGAGATATCAACTGAATAAATCATAACAAATTACATTAAGACTAGGCACAAACCCTCATATCAAGGCTGGACAAGGCAACCCAGTAAGAAGAAAACGGTCCCGAGTGTAGGACTTCTGGCATTCTTGTGAGGGATTTTCTTAATTGAATTAACTGAAGTAGGAAGACCCACTCTTAATGTGGGCTGCACATTTGATGGTCTAGGTCCTGGATTGAATGGAGATAGGCAGATGAGAACTGGTATTTTTGTATTAATTCATTGGTCTTTGTTGTTGGGGGTAGATGTGATGTGACTAGTTGCTTCAGTTCCAGCTGCCTTGACTTCCCTGCAGTGACAGACTATAACCTGCAGTTATGAGTCAAATAAGCCCTTTCTCCCTTCAGTTGTTTTTATCAGGGTGTTTTATCACAACAACAGGAAAAAAACTAGGACAAGGAATATGTATCTCAACAACTTACCTTCATTACTTGCTTTTATCCTCCCAGCATCTTGTCTCATCTACATCTTATAGACAACAGAATGAGGCTTAGAGAGGTAAGACAGAGGATGCTAAGACTAGGCCAATTGCAAAATTAGCCTACTTACAAAAGCTGTTCTTTATCCGGGTGGTGGTGATGCACGCCTTTAGTCCCAGTACTTGGGAGGCAGAGGCAGGTGAATCTCTAAATTCAAGACCAGCGTGGTCTACAGAGCAAGTTCAAAGATGGCCAAGACTACACAGAGAAACCCTGACTCAAAACAACAATAATAAAAGGCTATCCTTTGCTCAAACCCTACATTCTTCCCCAGGGCCTTTGGCATAACAAGAATTTCATCCTTGAAACCCTTGAGCCCTTCTTAAATTTACAGTACCCAAATTCTGCCTGTTAGTCATTCTTAAGAATGTAGGCCTAAGATTAAACTATGAGCTCTTTAGGGGCAGGCTCCATCTCTGCTTTCACATTACAGCTCTGTCAGTGTCCTGTGTACAGCAAGCACTCAGTCAATATTTACAAAGCCAAATGCAAAAGTAGCTTGATCAAAACACTGAAATGCTGTCAGCTACAAGCTGAGTAGGCTAGCTGGGAAGAAAGCCAGAAGGATCCCACAGCTCAATGACAAATCCGTAACACCCACCATTTTGTATATGGAAACAAAATGAAGCACTCTAAATAATTATTCCCCAGATAGTATCAACTCACATAAGTTACCACTATAGTTCAGTAATAGGCATAATTGTTGGCCATTCTCGCACCCACAAAGGCCCACCCCGTTATCTCCTACTTTGCCAAGCCACTCTCTCCCTGAGCTAGGTTCCTCAGGACTAGCATGGCCTCATCAGCTGCTTCTCAAAAACTTCCTTGTCGGGGGCTGGGAAGATGGCTCAGAGGTTAAGAGCACTGGCTGCTCTTCCAGAGGTCCTGAGTTCAATTCCCAGCAACCACATGGTGGCTCACAACCATCTGTAATGAGATTTGGTGCCCTCTTCCTGACTGTAGGCATCTAAGCAGACAGAATACTTTATACATAATAAATAAATCTTTTAAAAAAAACTTTCTTGTCTATGTATCCCTCCACTTGTTCTAAGCCTGGTCTGGGATGCCTCAATTCCAACAACCCACAGCTCACACTTGGCTAGAATCACCTACTGTCTTCCTACTTGCCTTTCTCTATGTCACTTTTCTTCATCAACTTAAGACTGTATGATCCAGTACTCAAGTTCTCTTTTGCACCCAGCAAGCTTCCCTGCAAGTCTCCATACCTGCTTCATCATCCCTACCTGCCCAAACTGGAGAGCAGGGCAAAGATAGGTCTCTGCTGTCTCTAGGCCCATGTCACTGCACAGAGCAGGGCAGGAATAAAACACCAATGGGTTATGGAAAGCATCTCCCTATGCATGCACTTGATGCCTACGAGGAAGCCTCTTGATTCCCCCAGCTCTTCGGCTTCATCTTCTCTAAATGGTGCTGTGTACCTTATCTGTACCCATACTTGCAACATTTCTCTCCCTATCCTTGCCCCGATGATGCTGAGGGCATAAGAAAACAGAAGTCCCACTGCAAATCTGCCACTTTCACTGCCCCTAAACTAAAAACTGCTCACATCTTCCTTGTACACTAGTGCCTCTCTTTCCCATACCCAAGGCTTTTGGTCTAGCAAGTACACCTCCCCAGACAAGTATCTGTGTTTTCCCCATTAAGTGATGCTGCTCTATCAGGTTGAGATTCAGCCTTGACCCCTCTTTAACCACTTCAGCAATTCCTACAAGATCCATCCGGAGTCTGAACACTGCTCACATCTGCTCTTCTATCAATGCTATCTACGCCACATCTGTGCCCACACATTTTTTTCAGCTCTTTGTCCCCCCAAATCCTACCAAATATGGTGTCTCATCAGCCCCCATGCTTCTAATTCTCCAGAATACGCATTGTTCTCTGGCAGCCAGTCCATTTGTCATATTTGTTCTGCTTACTGTTAGAGGCTACCCACCCTGCAACAAAATCAGAACACTGAAGAGCCAGGACTTCTTCCCTCTCTTACTCACTGCTGCAGTCCCAGTGCCTGGGAGAGTACTAGGAAGATAGAAGGTGTTTCCTTGTTGAAAGAAAAACTTTAAAGATGCTACAAAGGACAGGCCTCAAAAGAAAAAAAGAAAGCCTATAGGCACCATATTAAGGTAAGCAAGTGACAATTTCTAGTGTAAGGGCAACCAGCAGTTGGTGAAAAACTGGGTGCCCTGAGGACAGACGGCACCCATCTGCTACTGGTTCCTTCTGTCATCACGGGTTAAAACTTGCTCTCTGGCATCATCGTGTCACATGGAAGGTGACAGTCCTAAAGCAATCATCAAATCTGTAAGGTGCATGTCAGTCTAGCCCAGACATTACTTCAAATCGGAGTGTCTGTGATGATTTTAAAAAAAAATGGGCAGAGACAATATTCTCATTTCAAAACACATTGGAAATTAGTTTTATATTGAATTTCACATAAGTTTCTGAAAACAGAGTGACTTGACACCATTCTTCCTTTCAACAACATCAATATAGGAGGGGAGTCACGAATTTTCCACTGCTTTTCTCTAGTTCATCGAGTGGTCATTTCCCAAGCCTGGGCTGGGCACTTTGCTCTCCGCTCTCATTGTCTACCTGAGATGAAATTCCAGGCAAGCACACCAGGAAGAGGGCTGGTTACTAAGAGGCCAGGCTGAATTCACCTGCACTGGGTCTTGTTGCTGAATCAGGGTTATAAGCTGGGAAGGGGACCACTGCCCTGCTTCTCTGAAGACTGCCTGCCTACTTGACTACTGTCTTCTGAACCATCAAAAGAACTAGATGAAGCGAGGTAATCACTTCCCCATCTCTGTGAAAGCTGACCCACCATGCTGCAGATGGACTTGGCATCCTCTGAAAACTTCTCAGAGTACTCTTCAGTTTCATTCTTCACTCTTCTTTCCAGCTCCTCCCGGCTGACTTTCTCTTTGTATTTTTTGAATGGAGAGTGTCCCTCAATCATTTCATATAGCAGACAGCCAAGTCCCCACCAATCGGGACTAAATGAATACCTTTCATTATTGATAATTTCTGGAGCTACATAACAAATACAGAAATTTTTTTATTAAATTTTAGTTTTAAATACTTATGACTAACTCCAAGCAATATATTATTTATTTAATGTTTGTTACAACATGATCTAAGAAGCTTAAAAACATGCTAAGTTTTAAAAAAACACAAATGGCCAAAGATCATATGATTATATTTATATGGCATTTACAGAATATACAAATCCAGAGAGACTGAACATAAACTCATGGTTGAAAGGCCCAGGAGTAGAAAGTGATGAGTAGGTGGTTGCTAATGCATCATTAAAATCTGAAGTGATTAAAGGATGTTCTGAAATTAGACAAAGTAATAGTAATGATGGATGCACAACTGTAAGTGGACTAATATCCACTGACTTATACACTTCAAATAGTTGGATTATTTGATGTGGAAAGGATAATTGAAGTTGTATCTATATCTATACTTTATAAACTTGACAGCTGCAGGGTAGGTAATATGGTAAAATGGTACTGGAAATAAAGCTTGCCTCCTGGGGTGCTCCCTCCACTCGACTGTTCCCATGGGTGCCTCAAGTGCAGAGCCATCTGTTCCCAAGTCAGAAGAAACCCCAGAAACCTGCAAGGGGAGGAATTTCAGGCTCTGAGAGACCCACCATGCCCTTAGAAGCTACTAAGGGTAGGCTAGCATTCATTGCCCATACATCTTTGAAATAATCTGAACATGACTGATTTCCCAGGAATCAGGTAGATAGGATTTGTTGTGCCCACATGCATGGGATACCAGCTGCATGAGGAAACTGTGGCCTTTCTGATTCTGCCTTCACAGAACCACAAAAACTTGGGAGTCTCTATGGACACCACTCCTCGTTATAAAAAGAAGGCTGCAGACTAAAAAAAAAAAAAATTTCCTCAGACACTCTAGATTAGTGGTTCTCAATGTGTGGAGCGCAAATCCTTTGGGGGTTGACCGACCCTTTCACAGGGGTAGCCAAAGACCATCGGAAACACAGATACTCGACATTGCAATTCCTAAGAGTAGCAAAATTAGTTATGAAGTAGTAGCAAAAATAATTTTATGGTTGGGGGTCATCACAACATAAACTATATTAAAGGGTCATAACATTAGGAAGGTTGAGAACCATTGCTCCTGATGCTCAAAGCATTTGCAAAGATGCCGGGCTAACTTTTAATGTTAGATAACATTAGAAAGTAATAGAGTTCATGTTAGGAAACAGTCATTCTTTAGGGAAGCAGCATCAGTTGTCATTCTAACAACCTGAGCACTCATGAGCTCAGCCGCTGCTACACAGACAACACAGGTGTTGGAATATTTTTATAGTCTCTGTTTCCCCAATTATTTTTTATATCAGAGTTCCTTAATTTTTATAACTGAAAACTCCATATTTTTCACAGTACCAACTATAATTTTTACATACAGTTCATATTTCTTTGTTAAAATATAGCCATATTATCAGTTGCTTAAAAAAGATGTCTCAGGGCTGGAGAGATGGCTCAGTGGTTAAGAGCATTGCCTGCTCTTTCAAAGGTCCTGAGTTCAATTCCCAGCAACCACATGGTGGCTCACAACCATCTGTAATGAGGTCTGGCACCCTCTTCTAGACTTTAGGCATACACACAGACAGAATATTGTATACATAATAAATAAATAAATATTTAAAAAAAAAAAGATGTCTCATAGCTCTCTGTTCCTCCAGAGCCAATCTCCAGTCTTATCCCCAGCTCTGCAGAAGAACACCTGGGCAAGCCTTCCTTGCCTTGTTCACATCCCCTGTGGATCCCACAGATCCTCCCCTTCTTACTGCCCCCCCTTGTTGCTTTGTCCCAGTACCCAAACCCTAGCAGGAACCTGTACTCCCCCAAGAGCCACGCCTATGAGGACAAGTAGGCTGACAGTGGATTGACACCTCTCCTTCACTCCTCCAGATCCAGTCCCTCCAGTCTCATCCCCAGTTCTATAACAGTAAACTTGCTGTGGTCTCCCTTTCTTCTCTGACCAAACAGATCATAAAGATCTCCTCCAGACTTCTTTCCCTGAACTCATCCCAGCCTCTCAAACCTAGCAGGCATACCCTGGGAACACAACAGCTGAGCATGCCAGGAATCAGGTCCAGAGGAAATTCCGTATAATCGCAACATTCTCCTAAAGTTCAGGGAGAAAGTAGAAACCAAGGGAAAAATACTCATCCAACAGAGACAAAACGAGATATAATCGGGCTGGAGAGATGGCTCAGTGGTTAAGAGCATTGCCTGCTCTTCCAAAGGTCCTGAGTTCAATTCCCGGCAACCACATGGTGGCTCACAACCATCTGTAGAGGTCTGGTGCCCTCTTCTGTCTTGCAGACATATACACAGACAGAATATTGTATACATAATAAATATTAAAAAAAACGAGATATAATCACCCAGACCTTTGCAGACTCTGATATGGAAGATGTTAAGTCCAGACTACTATATCCAGCAAGACTCTAAATTACCATAGATAGAAAAATAAGATATTCCAAGATAAAATAAAATTTAAGCAATACTTTCTACAAACTCAGTCCTACAGAGAGTGCTAGAAGGAAAATTCCAACACAACCATGAAAACACAGGGAATAAATAATCCCAGACTATTAAAATTAAAGGAAGGGAAACAAATGCACACACACACACACACACACTAAGATCACCACCATATCCCAGCACTCGGGAGGCAGAGGCAGGCGGATCTCTGTGAGTTCGAGACCAGCCTGGTCTACAAGAGCTAGTTCCAGGACAGGCTCCAAAACCACAGAGAAACCCTGTCTCGAAAAACAAAACAAAAAAAAAAGATCACCACCATAAACAACAAAACAGAATTCAACATTCATTGGTCATTGAAATCTTTCAATATCTCTGTCTCAATTCCCCCTAATAAAATAACGAAGACTAACAGAATGGATGCAAAAACAGGACCCATTCATTTCCCGCATCCAAGAAATACACCTCAACATTAAAGATAGACATTGCTTCAGAAAAAAGATATTCCAAGCTAATGAACCTAAGAAACAAGCTGGTGTAGCCATTTTAATATCTGATAAAACAGACTTCAAACCAAAACTAATTCGAAGAGATAGGGAAGGACACTACATACTTATGAAAGTAAAAATTCACCAAGAAGACCTTTCAATTCTTACCATCTATGTCCCAAACACAAGAACACTAATTTTTGTAAACGAAACACTACTACACACTGGTGGTGGTGGTGCATGCCTTTAATCCCAGCATTCAGGAGGCAGAGGCAGGTAGATCTCTGTGAGTTCAGGCCAGCCTGGTCTACAGAGTGAGTTCCAGGACAGGCTCCAAAGCTACACAGAGAAACCATGTCTCAAAAACAAAACAAAACAAACAAAAACAAAAAAAGAAACGCTACTACAGCTTAAATCACACATTGCCCCTCACACACTGATGTAGCAACTTTTCCATTGGACTTTCTTGGACTACCAGCCTGTAAATAATGACACAGAGACTTATTAATTATGAAAGCTTGGCCTTAAGCTTTGGCTTGTTAAGTTGTAAATTAAGTTCTTATAACTTAACTAACTCACATTTTTTAAAATCTACATTCTGCCACATGGCTCAGTTATCTCTCGTACCATATGTGTGACTTGCTCCATGTCTCACCGACATCTCCCTGCATCTCTTCTTCCCAGAGTTCTCCCTCCAGAAATCTTACCTACTTTCTCCTGTTTAGCTACTGCCCATTCTGCTCTTTATTAAAGCAATCACAGTGATACATCTTCATACAGTGTAAATAAATATTTCACAATAATATGATAGTGAGAGACTTTGGTACCACATTCTCACAAAGGAACAGGTCATCTAGAAAAAACTAAACAAAAAAAAATGCTAGAGCTATCATGTTATAAACCAAATGGATCTATCAGATATTTACAGAACATTTTGCTCAACAACAAAAGAATAGACCTTCTTCTGTGCACCCCATGGAACTTACTCCAAAATTGACCACAAACTTGGACATAAAGTAAGTCTGAACAGACACAAGAAAATTGAAATAGCTCCCTGCATCCTATCAGACCACCACAGATTGAGGCTGGATATCAACAACAATATCAACAAAAGAAATCTTACAAAGTCATGGAAACTGAACGACTCTCTCTACTGAATAAAAAACAGGTCAAAGGATAAAAAAAAATTAAAGATTTTCTAGAATTGAATGAAAATGAATATACATCATATCCAAATATATGGGACACAATAAAAGTAGTTGTAAGATAAGTTCATGGCCCTAAGTTTAAAAAAAAAAAAAGTGTAATCTCATACTAGCAACTTAATAGCACACCTGAAAACTCTCGAACAGTGATTTTCAACCTTGAGGTCTTATACTATGATTCATAACAGTAGAAGGAGCAACAATATATTTTTGTTGGGGGTCACACTACAACATGAGGAACTGTATTAAAGGGTCACAACATTAGGAAATTTAGAACCACTGCTCTAGAGCAAAAAGAAGAAATCACACCCAAAAGGAGTAGATGGAAAGAAAAAATAACCAAGCACTGAAATCAATAAAATAGATACAAAGGGAACAATACAAAGAGTCAATGAAGCAAAGAGTTCTTTGAAAAAAAATCAGTAAGACTGACAAACCCTTACCCAAATTAACTAAAAAGTGTGAGAGAGAGAATATCCAAATTAAGAAAATCAGAAAGGAAAAGGAGGACATAACAACAGACATAAAGGAGATCCAGAGAATCATAAGAACATACTTTAAAAACCTGTCCAAGGGGCTGGAGAGATGGCTCAGCAGTTAAGAGTACTGACTGCTCTTCCAGAGATCCCGGGTTCAGTTCTCAGCACCCACATGGCAGCTCACAACTGTCTGAAGATTCAGTTCCAGGGGATCTGACACCTTCACACTGATGTGGGAGTGTCATATATCAATCTGTTGATTTCATTGGCTGAGCAATAAAGAAACTGCTTGGCTTAGCTTAGAGCATAGATGGGAGGAGGAAACAGAATAGAATTCTGGGCGGAAGAGGAAGTGAGGTCAGACTCTGCCCTGCTCCCGGAGAGACCGGACAGCTCTGCTGGAGCAGAGACGCCATGCTCAGCTCTCCCAGGCAGCTGCAACCCACGATGGACTTAGGCTAGAATCTTTCCGGTAAGCGCACCTTGGGGTGCTTACAAACATCATTAGAAATGGGCTAGACCAGGTGCGAGAATTAG